ATTAAATGAGGAAGATTTTGAAATTAGAGGAGATGAATTTCCAACACTTACTCCAAAATTATCAAGAACAAGAGGTGGAATGTATGATTTCCTAAGAAATTATGAATTTGGTATTGAAGTGGGAAATATTAATAAGACCATAATAAATCAAGACTATATTGAAACATTAATATCACTTTGTGGTGGTAACATAGTAAGTCACAAGGAGAAAACTTAAAATACTATTATAATTAAAATAGTGTAAGATCCTCAAATAAATCATACACGTATAGAGTGTATTCCAATGATAGTCAATTAAAAATGGTTATTTGATAGTATTAGCAAATTCAACATGTAAAACTATTTTGGTTATTTAATAAGTAATTGAAACTAATTAATAAAATTTACGTTTTTATTGTATTATATATATATAAATTATATGTTCACAGATTTGTCGGTATACTTAATAGTCTCAATATTCTGTGTGTTAGCCATAGCTTTATTTTTATTTGGGTTTTTAGGGACAGTAAACATTATTGAATAATTATATAGAACTTTTCAATAAAATAAGAGGAAGATTATTAGAATTTGATTATAGATTATGGGAATTTATATGATGAATAAGAAATAGATGAATAGAATTGGAAATAAGAATTGCCTGCTTATATAGCAACATATTTATAAACTATAGAGATAAGTCTTAAAGAGTTGTACCTGAATTAGTTAATAATAACAATAATAACATCTGCAGGCTTCTTGTTGATCATAGCCGTATATATATAGCACAACTAGTTTAGTCTTGGTTAACACCCTCCGGAACTTTTTGGGGTTTTTTCATCAGTTTTTTATGGGGCACAATAATAACATGTGTCATAGCCTATTTGATTATTGCAGTTAAAATAGGTACATTACTAAAAATTCCAATCAAAGCTAGTATAGGGAAGGTGAGAATTATTTTTATATTTAGGAAGATATTCTAAAATGGATATATGGTAATGGATTCTTTACAGCTTTATTTATGGGTGGAATTATAACTTTAAATTCCTTATTTATAGTATTGATAATGAAGGCAATGTCAGTTCAATCAACAAAACCTGAAAATTATGCAATTATGGTAAGTGGTTTTCCATTAGGAATGTTGATATCTGGTATTTATTTTAGAGAAGGTATGTCAGTTACTGGTAGAGGAATTTAAGCAGCATGTGATTTGATGATAAAAAAAGAATAATATTTTGGTGATATTGGAAATAGTTTATCATATACAACTAAAATTGCAGCAGGAATGTCTTCTTTAATGGCAGAAGTCAATTTCTTTGATTCTATGTTAGTATTGTCATTATTTGTATCAATGCCATCAATTGTATTAGTAAATTCAGTTGATTATCATTATTCAGATAATTTTATTGGAAAAATATTTGGAATTCAATTAGTATTTATTCTCAGTTGGATTGGCTAATTATTAATATCATTTTTAAGCCATATTCTCAAAAATGATGATGCTGTTGCTTTTACTGCAAATAATGTAAGATGTTAAATATTAATGTCAATATTTTTAAGTTTATGTTTTGTTATCTTTTCTTTACTATCATTACCTAAGGAATTTGAATTTGGTGATAAAGAACATTCATAAATTTATAGAGAAAAAGTACTTAATAGAGATTTTATGGGTTGTGGTTTTATTGGAATTGTTGTCTCTGCCATTCTAATTATCTATTATGAATATTTAACAAGTCATGGTTATTCAGTAGCATAGAAAGTAGCACTCATTTCATACAAAGCACCTACTCTTAATATAATTTAAGCATACTCTATAGGAAATATTGGATAAATTGTACCTGCTCTTTTGATTGCTTTATCCCTTTTCATTTCCTATAAATTAGCATCTTTAGTAGGAATTCTAGGATTGTTTCTGGGATATATTATGAATATATATATTTTGATGGGAATATCAATGCTTGGTATACTTTCTGGAGATGGATTAAAATTATCATTCTTAGCCTAGTTTGCTAATAATATTAAAGATCGATTACATTCTATAACATGGGCTGCTAAAAATTATATTGTTTGGTTAAAAATTACAAATGCAGGAGCTCTTATTATTGCAGCCATTTTAATAATTGGAACTGCTATATTTTTTAGTAAAACCTTTATATTGTTATTGAATGGTTATAATCTCTTTGGTTTTTTAATTGGATTTGGATTAGCTTATTATAATAAAGGAATTACCATATTTATTGTTAAGACTATCTGTGAAGAAGCTGTAAATATTTATATTTAAAAATTTTAGCTTTATGATGAAAAATCATTTTAATTAAGAAAAAATAAACCTGATGAAGAAATAGCACTTGAAAATTTTTCATATACATATTTTCCATTAAAAAATAGATAAGGAAATTATTATGTACTTGTCAATTTATTATCAGTATTTATTTTTTTAAATAATTAGTGTACAATAGCAGTTTTGTTTACTGGAATCATTTTTGGTCATGGAGCTTCTATTTCATTGGCTATTTCTAATTTATTCATAAATGCGATCATGATGTTCCAATCTATACTTACTGGAACAGTTTTAAAAAATGCTTTCATTTATAATTCTTGTATTGTTTTGATTAAAAAACTTAGATGATCAATAATAATAAGAGACATCTTAAGTCTTGAGTGTAAATTTGTATGGCGATATTTAAGGATAAACTGTTGAAGAAAGTTAAAATATCTAAAACCCATATTATATGATCTATATTATGTTAATAACTTTAGTAGGTATAGAATTATTCAAGCATGATTGATTATTGAAATTATTATAAAGTATAAATATAAGATTATTATTATTATGTATATTAAGTATATCAAATGAATTAACATTTATACTCTATAATTTAATTGTTTTATATTGACTTATAAAATAAACTAAATTTTATATTATTTTTTTATACAAATTAAATATTTATCTTAATATATCTTAAATTTGCCCCAAATTATTATATCTGAAATCTATTTATTTTTGTTGTTTATTCTATAATTGTATCATAACCTAATTAAGTTTAAGTGATGTTTATAAATAAAATTAATCTATTTATTAAAACACCTAAACAAAAATTATTTATTTTAATAATATAAAAGAGAGTCATAATAATATTACTATTGAATTTCATAGAAGAAATGGATATAACTTGTATTTATTCTTTGAATATATTAAGAAGTCTCTAAATATTTGAGATATAGTTTATATAAACTAATTAAACAGTTGTAAATATATGATTAAATGATTATTAAAATAAATAGCTTTAGCTAAACTGATTTTGATTTATTTGAGTATTTACATAATAGAAATTTGTATTACATCTAAGATACAAATTCTTAGAACTAACTTTTCATTCAATGATATTTCATTCGATTTTATATGTTTTGTTATAATAAAATCAAGATTTTAACACTAATCCTCATTTTCAGATTATATTAGATATGGATATTTCAACAAAAGCATCGTTAACTATTTTCAAGAAAAAACGAACAAACATTTAGACAATTGAATCAATTGAACCTACTTCAAAGAGACAAATTTCTCCATAGCACAATCAGCGTTTCTTTCAATCAAATTTTTCATCTAAAGGTAATAAAGACATTTATAATAGCCATGATTACAAACATTAATAAAGAAAAATAAAGAATCAAATAATTACTTGAAGAAAATGTGAAGTTATTAGAACAATGCTCTGAGAAGGATTTGTAAATTGGAAGATTATAAGCTAAAATTTAGAAAAATGTAGATTTGAGAACTTAAAGAGTCTAAACTCTCAATAATTTATAAAAAATTGAAAAAAAGAACTATTTCTTTGATAACTAAAACCAATAAAATATTTCAGACTTACAATAAAATGAAGATAAATAACTTTTCACTTTTTATAGTCCAAAACAAAAATAAAATTCATAAGAATTCAAACTCCCTAAAGTTTTTAGAGCATTTCCTTAGTAAAATAAATATTTTATATGATTTTTCAATTCATTATAACAAACTTGATAATAGTTTAAACTAAATATTTTATTTTATCTGTTCAGTTTTTAGATTTTTAGATAAATATTATAAATATATTCAAAATTCTTAGACATTTTTATTCCTATTTTAATCTTAGAATTATATTAAGTTAAAATTTACTTAAAATTAAATATGAATTTGAAATCCATTTCTGTAAATTTTTGTGTATTTAATCAACTATAATTCTTTAGAAAAATTTAACTCTAAATATTTATTATAATTATTACTTATTGTTCAATTTATAGTATAAATATTATAATAAATGATAAATACATAAAGTGAAGATGATGAATAACCTGTTTCAAATGTACAAGCAATTGAAAAACCTTAAAAATTTAGCTTATTTGATTTGATTGTTGGATTGTCAATATTCAGTATTCTATTTTTTCAATAATGTATGGGTGAAATATTATTCCCAATTGGATTCATTTTTTTAATGAATGGAATACTTTATAAATGCAATAGAAGAATTGATTAATTTATGATTGGTCTATTTTATGTAGTTTAATTATTTGCAGTTTGGGCATTAACATATCACGATTTCGAAGAATGTCAAATTGGATATGTATTAGTCGTTATTTACGTAGTTGTAATATTTTGCTTCATTACAAGTAGCATGATTATATTGACATGACATCAATTATAGTCTAAAATACATATAATTAACACTATTCATTAATTTTTGTATAATATCATTATGAACTTCTTAATATAATTATATAATTTAATATATAAATTTTTAATATCATACTTATTATATTAAATTTAGATCAAAAATTCCTAATTTATATGTAATATCCAAAATTAAATATAACTCTTTGATTGTAAAATTTTTTTCGTCAACTTCTTACATGTGAATCTCCATTCATCAGTCATACAATGTTGTAGAACACGAGGATATTGTTTTTAATTGAAAGGATCATGATAGAGAGCCTAGAGCAAACCAACTTTTTTATTCTTAATAATAACCAAAATAATGGCTTTATCATCAATCCCTCAAAAAGTGTATCAATTCCCTAAATAACATCTTGGAACATAATGCAAAATAGTAAACATCAACTTCAGTTGTAACTTTTTTATCTCTGACCAATTTTCCAACTTCCTTAACGGTTTTTAAAGTTTCCTTGATGCATTCTAAATGATTTTGCTCTTACATCACTATTATATGAAGTAGAATTTGGATATTAGTTAATATTATATAATTCTACTTAAAGAATTAAAGATTTCTTTTATGTATTTGTTAGATTATGCACTTGATTATAAAAGAAAGCCTCTTTTATTATGAATATTTTGTTGTAATCAATAACAACCCATGAATTATGTAAGTTCCACTTTTATATCTATTAAAAATATCCATTTATTCTTAAGGAGTACATCCTATTCCAAAAAACAAAAAAATCATCTTAGGATTCTAAGTCTACTGGTCTTGCTCTTAAAGATAAAGTTGATTACCTATATCTTTGTCTTTTAATGTAAATTATTCTACAATAGCATTAAGATATATTAGTATAACTTTTATAATTTTTGAGCATAGCTTAATGCTCATTAAAAGTAGTATAAAAGTAAAAATATTAATGATTACACTATTAAATATTAATATTCTATAATATCATTACATACATAATATTAAAAATTTATATAAATGAATTATTTTAAGTAGTTATCGAAAACATATAATAAAATAATAATTTAATTAATAGATTATAGATTTTAATACATAATTCATTTCTGAAAGTAAATAGTTGTATATCTATTTCTAAATTCATAAGAATTATAAATTAATCTTTTTATAAATAAAGTTATTTCTTGAATTTATAATTTTAAAGTTAAGTTTGTTCTTCAAAATTTAACTAATTACCTTATTTTATGATCTCAAATAAAATGTGGTCTTTCTCTTTCAGAATTGATTTTAGTTTTCTACTTTATGAACTCATTGCATGAATTCTACTTTAAATTTAGCACTTTAAAATAGATTTCCATTTAAAATTTATTAAATCTTAGAATTATTCTTAGTATTTAATATATCTTTCTTTTTTAATTTGTTTATAATAAATTATAATCCTATTTTGTTAATAATGTATTTACAAAAAATTTATTTATAAATTTACAATTCAACTCCTTTTGATACTTTTTCTAAGGATAAATTCTACTAAAACTTGTTTATGTAGTAATTACTCTTATAGATTTAGTAATTATTTATTATATATTGAATATAATAAGCATCATTAATTAATAATTTATGATCTTTTTAATTCTTTGGATTTTAATCTTTAAGTAATAATTTCATCCTAATTAACACAATCAAAATCAAAAATTATATTTCTTCTTTCTAATTTATTTTACAAAAGAATCAAATTAAAAAAATCAAATGAATCATTAAAATTGATTAATTGTGGAATCTTGTTTATAATAATATTTAAATTCTAAATTTACTAAAACAGAGAATGTTTGTAATATTAGGATAATAAGAATAGTTTATAAGGACTAATAAATATTTTAAATAATTATATATTAATTTTAATTAATAAAATAAATTTAGAAGATGATTGATGAGATCTCTTTGTTTGCAAGTTTCATTTAGTTAAAAACAGAAACTCGATATCAAAGATCAAAATTTAGTGGATTATGTTTATACCCATCTATCGTATTATCAATAGCATTTGATAGAAGTACTGTAAATATAGGAACTGTTTTGATAACATTGATTTTAACAGCTATTTTAAAAAGTCATAATAAATTAATTTATTTCTTAAGAGTAATATAATAAAACATAGTTATAGGTTCTCTTATTATTTCCAGAGCTACTTCTTTAAAATTAAAATCATGCATTAATCAGTTCATTTTTGATTAACCAAATATATGTGCCTTACTGGCCAAGTTAAATTGTGTTTTAGATGATTTTGGTTAGATCAGTGAATGGATTATATTTGGGATTTGGATTATTAATGTTGTCTAGATATTTTGAAATTTTAAAGAGAAGATTCTTTATATCATTTTATATTCAAGAATATGATTAACATTAGAAAGAGTATGTATTGGAGAAATTACCTATAGATATCTTCCTGATTAATAGTGAAGCAAACATTCTCTATAGTAATCATAATGTAAAATAATTTGATAATGAATTGCAAAGGAAATTGTCAAACGCTATTCGAAAGAAGAAAACAAATGAAATAACAATAAACAATAAATATTACAAATTGGAATAATATCATTCTGATTATATATTGACATAATCATAATTTAGTTGTGGAGATGTTGAATTATTTATAAAATTATCTTAATAAATAGATTAATTGTATAACTTAATATGTTAGGACTATTAGAAATGGAACAATTTAAGAGCATTTAAAGTAGTGAAAGAGAGTGATTTAAGTATATTAGGTTAATGTACCACAGATTGTAGATTATTAAAATAGTAAATAGATACCATCAATATTCTAAATCATGATTGTCAATAAATAAAATACTAATCATCATAAAAAGATGAGTTTTTTTGTAAGTAAATTGTTTGATTTAGTGAAGAACTATGTAGTTAATGTGATTGAATCAATGGTTAATCGACTTTAAGAGCATTTCAATTTAATTCAACTTGAATTTGAAGAAGGTATTCCAGAAAAACTTGTAGGAAACAAACATGGTATTCTTTTTAGTCTATATGCTTTTTTAATGAGTGCCATGCTTGTAGAATAGAAATCAGATAATTTAACTATTAATGTTAGAATTGCTTAGGTATACTTAGATAAATCAGAATATGATCTTGAGATATCTATATGTTTTCCATGTTCTAACAAATAAATGAAATTATATTGTTAAGATGAATTTGAGAATGAAAATGAAAAATTCTTGTTAATTATGATCAATTAATGTAAATAATTACTTTCAATTGATTATAAAACTGATGGAGATAACATTATTATCTTATTAATAACAAATGTTTAATTGTGTAAAAAAAGTGATAAATCTTGTGATAATATTTAGATGGTTGATTTAACTTTTACAAAAAATGTTATTGATGTAAATCATTATTTTTGGAATGCAAAAAGATTTGCATCTCCAACTATGACTTATGATAAATCTTTAAGATCTCCATTATAAAAATGCACAGCCAAATTTAATTATGCTGCTGATTCATTGGCTTCAACAATCAAATTATAATCAATTCCAAATTCAGCATAAGCTTCTGCTGCAAATTCAAATGCTTAATCTCTTGAAAATACATTAATTAAAAATGAAGACATAATAAAAGAAGTTGAAAATGCTTTCAAATATACTATACAATTTCCATAAATATAAGATGATATAATGAAATTACTTGAATAAACATTATAAGCTGCATATAATGAAGGTATTTTAGATCATGATAAAACTATACTTGATATTGGATATAATCATATACATTATGATAAATACAGTTAGATAAGTGTAAGATCAGATACACCATTTGTTTAAGATTATGGTGATCAATTAATTGATTAAAATGATAATGAATTTTAAAAAAGTAAATCAAAATAATTCAAAACTCCATAATTAAAACCTAGAGATTTAATAAGAATTGATAATTTGGGATAATAACTTATACATGAATAAAATAAAAAATAGGAATAAGTAAATAGATCTATTTAAGGAAAGAGAAATAAAGATCAAAAATAATTAAATGTACTATTTAGTCCTTCTGTAATGAGCAAGTTTAGTAACAATTTAGTATCTAAAGTTTAAAAATCCAAAACTTAATTGCCTAATATAGATGATAATAATGGTATATATATATTGAGATTATAAAGATATAAAATTTCATATTCGTGTTAGAGATCATAGATTAAGAAAATAATAACGAAAATGGTCATGTAGAATTAGATTAGATGAATTACCAAAATAATAACCTAATATACTTTGTTTGATTCCTAATACTTAATTTATTTAAGTTGCATAAAGATTTGGCAATAGTCTTTATGGAGATTAAATGATTGGTGAACCAATTATTACTTATTCAGTTTCAGAATTAATTAAGATCTATAAATAGCATTTTAATGAAGGAAAATAATTTTGCTTTATTTTAATATACATTCATAAAATTAGTGAAATAGAAGAATTAAGTATTGCTTTATAAAGTAATGAAAATTAATGGTCTCAAGATCCTGATTTCAAAAAAACAGTTATGATAGGAGTATACAATTAAACTTAATTGAACAAAAATCTTTATTAATTTCTTAAATATACTATTCCTCTTAGTTAGGATGCAGAATAATTGGCTAAATCAAAAGAATGGATAGCAGAAATAAGTAAATGATTATAAATTATTATTAAAATTAAGTAATTAATAATGTCTCACCACCACCAAAAGTATTATGAAAGACCAGGTAATTCATTCCTATTAATATAAGATGGATATGTATACTCACAAGAAGAATTAGATGCTCATAGAATACCTTTACCATTTAGAGATAGATGTGTTAATTTTTATGTCCCATTCTTCAAATGCTAATAAATCAAAACAGATAATTTATTCAAAACAACTCTTGCAGCTATTGATTAAACATTAGATCATTGGTATTTCATTTACTTCTATTATTAGGGGTGGAGAATGTTACAAAGAAAAAAGAGATTATCTAAATTGTGCTAAAGCAGCGTATATTCTTTATCAAATTATATTTCAGTTATCAATATTCCTTAGCAGTACCTGTCTAAAATATTTATACTGCTAATCCATGGTATGCTAGTCAAGAAGGAGTTTCAGCTGAATTAGAAAAAAATCATTTTAGTTCACCAGTCTTATATTGACAAAATAATCAAAATTTAGTACAAAATAAAACATTATTATTATTTACATGCATTATTCACTTGTAGAAGGATCTTAATAAACTGATTCCATTCATTATCCTTCTAAAATTCATGTTAGATATCCTTCTTAATTACATATGGGTTCTCCTAGAATAATTCTTATGCAAAATCACTTCCCTGTTGTGAAACCCATTATTGTAACAAAATCTTAATAAGGATCAAACTTAAAATAAATTAAAAACACTTACTACACTAATCGATAACCAGTCAAAACACTATGTAATGAATAATTGGAAATACCAAAACAAGAGAAAATACTAAAAGAAAAAAATAAAAAATTATAACTGAGGAAAAATATGACCAGAAAATTATTAAAAATTACTGAGTATCTAGCTTCCTACAGAAAACCCTGAAAATATCTTCCTATGATTATAAATATGATAATAATTCTTTAACATTTTTTATCATCAATTATAATACCTATAATACTTATTCATATAATAAAACCAGTATTTTTTAAATATTCTATATATATACATGAGTCTTTTCCATTTTACAATTAAAATAGAACAAATTTAAAAGACTTAAATTAAATGAGATTGATATACTTTTTTATTATCATTTTTGAAAAATAAACAATATTCCAAATTTTTCAAATGGATCCTCTTAATTGTGTTTTAAAATCATCTAGTATACTTAACTTTATGACTACTATATTAATATGTTATATAATATAATCAAGAATATATATTGATTTATTAAAATAATAGAAAAATCAAAATTTTTGAATAGATTTTTCAAATAAATTAAAATTTAATTTCTCAATCTGATCAAGCAAATTAAGTTTTACAACTTAGAATTTTAAGTTCTATTAAAGTATTATATAAATTTAAGATAGATAAGATATATAATATAACAATTAATGGTTTTATTTTAAATCAAATAAATGAAAGCAATAAATAATCTATATTTATTTCAATAGAGTTAAAATTAGATTATATTAATTAATAATAATTATAGATAATATTATAATTAAATATATGATAAAAATCTTATCATCTTCTTAAAGAGTTCTCAACTCTGTTACATGTTTCATCCAATAATCTAAGCATAGTTTCTTCTGTAGATTCTCTTTAAACTTTCTCTTCTTATAACTATAAATTTAAAATATTATTCATCTCATCTATCATTCTATACATTTAAGATTGAGATTCTTGTCTTTATCTTTTCTCCTTAGTTAATGTCTCTTATATTTAAAATACAGATTCTCCAAATCTTCTAATTAACTCTTAACAAGCAGCTTCTCTATTAATTATTTATTATTAAATATTACCTTTCTCTTCTTTCATTTTACACATCCTCTGCTAAATTTAAGACTCTTTCTCCAATTTCATTAGAATATTATTCTTCTGTTTCTTCTCTCATTTTCTTTTATTTAGCTAATTCCAATCTAAATTAATATGATTTTTCATCAATTAATCTAGCCACTTTCAATTCTGATTCTCTTCTTAATGTTTTATCTTTTTACAATTCCTTAACTATATTCTACTCTAAACCTTTAATATCTCTCTACTTAAAATTATCATCCCTTGACTATAATATAAATTTGAATTTAAACATCTCTAATTATTTTTTCGTTAGTTAATCCATCTTCTATTTTACTCAATTGATCTTAAATTATTTTGAGTCTGCTTAAATCATTTTAGTAAGCCTTTTAAAATTTCTCATCAAAAAGCTTGAGCTTTGATTCATAAGCTTCCTTTTTTAATGTTTTATCCTCTTCAATCTGTAATCCAGATAACTTTTCACTTAACTAAGCAATCTTAGCTCTGCTAGGAGATACTATAAGGTTAAAATAATCACTTACAATTCCTATCAGTAATTGAAGATTGTGGGGCAATCACACTTTTCAAATTTTTTGTTTAAGGTGATTAATATAACGAGCTATTTAACATTAATTATTTATTAATTAAAACTAAATAAGAGCTTTAATTTATTTCATAATAAATTCAATCTAAATAAAAAAATATAAATAATTATTAAAAACCCTAAAGAGTATATATAATAGTATCATTTTGATTTTTGTCAGCAGATTTATACTTTATATTATATCATTGAATTAATAATAATTTAAATATTTATGGTTTATTTTGGAATAAAAAAATCATAAGATTTATGTTATTTATCTACATAAAAGGATAATAATAAGGTCTAATATATATTTGACATTCATATAATTAAAAATATATATTATAATAATTTGATTAAATAAGAGATATTTAAACATGAATAAATAGATATTATAATAAAGTAATAAAATTTAACATAGCAATATTCTTCATAATTTATCATCAAATGATAAAATAACATAAGATTAACTATTTTAAATACTAATATATTAATTTAGATAAGCATATTAATACAATAAAATAAAAGAAAAATAATGTTAGTTTATATCTTTTCTTTATAAATATTATGATCTAAGAAATCAATATTTTAATAACTGATAATTCCTTTTTATTTGTATAAATATTTTTATTATTTAAAATGGCAGACAACGAAAATAATGATGATTAAGTGAATTTGGAGGAAGATCCAATGGCATTCTTACCAGCAGATCATGTAATTTGACTTATGTGATATAATTAGCATTTGCTGGCTCGTTTGCAAATTGCCTTACAAAAATAATTGAATGATGAACATTCAAGAGTAGAATTAGAACTTGTTGAAGTGGAAGATTAATTAAAAAAGCTTGATAGAGAAAAGGAAGATATTGGTATATGAAATTATTAATATATTAGGTGTTAGATTATATGGAGTTTAATAATAGTTAGCAGAGAATTAATAAAATTTTGAAAAAGCACATGAAAACTTTAATTTTGTCTAAAAGTTGAGAATAGAGAGTGAGTAAAAACTTAAAACAATTAATGATTTACACTTATAAAAAAAGAAAGAAGTAGATGAATTAAGAAAAAAATATCTAAAAGCTCAAGATGAATTATCGAAACTTACAAAAACTTTACATACGATTGAGAATTATAATAATTAAATGCAAGCAGAAATCCAATAGACAAGAAGAATTGTTTATAGAGGAGAAGAAAATGTGCAAGCATTAGAAAAGGAAAAGAAAAAATAAGATTACTTAATTGATTAAATGAATGAAGAAATTAAGAGATTAACAGAATAAAAGACAATATTGATGGATTAATTGATATCTTAAAGTAAAGAGACAGAAAATGCAAGACAAACTATGAAGGATGCTTAAGATGAGATGGAAAAGATTATTGCTTCTAAAAAGAATCTTATGGAAAGATGGTAAAAGAGTTTAGTAAGAATGTAGAGAATGGACAATGCATTATAAGAAATTAGAGAAGCTTATAAGTATGTTAATATATAAATATTATAATAGAAAAGAATCAGAAGTAAATATTTAATTAGGAACAGAATTATAAGGAATTAATAATGAAATTAGAAAAGAAAATAATAGATCTGAAGATTTGATTGCTATGAAAAGAAAATTAGAAAATTAAAAATTGAATTTAGAAAATAGAAGATAGGAATTAATTGAAGAATAAGCAAAACTTAATGCTTAAGTTTTATTATTAAATGAATCACTTAAATAGACAGAAAATGAAACTAAAAAAACTGATAATGAATAAAGAAATGTAGATGAATAAATGAAATTAATTGAAACTAATATTATGAAATTACATACTGAAACTAAAAGTTTATTAGAAGATTTATTAGATTCAAAGAGTGAAAATACTACTATTGAAAAAACTGCATTGAATTTATTAAAATAAGCTCAAATTATATAATCTGAAATTGAAGAAAAGGAAATTGAATTAGAAAATCTAAATAATGAAATTGCAAGAGTTAAAATTGATTAATTAAATACAGAATAATAAATTGAATAATTAAAAATAAAAAAAGCTGCTGTTATTAAAGAAAGAGATGATAAGAAAATTACAGTTGCTACTTATGAAGTATAAATTAAATAAGGTCATGAATTAAATGAAAAAAAATAACATGAAGTTGGTAGATTAAATAAAGTACATGATGAATTAACAAATAATTCTTCAGAAGTTAGTAGAGGACCTTTAGAAGCAACAAAATCTAATTTAAAAAGATAATTTGATGAAATGATTTAATAATGTGAAGCAATGCATAGAGATTGGATAAAGAAGCAAACTTAATTGGTTGAAAAAACTAAAGAGTATGAAACATGTTCAACAGAGGTTGATGAATTATCTAATAAATAAGTTATTTTAGAAAATAAAAAAATGAGATTAAATTCATAATATAAATCTCATGAAAGAGAAATAAGAGAAATCAAAAATAGTCTTAAAAATTTATAAAATGATATGAATAAATTAAATGATGATTTAGCTAGATATTAATTTAAATAAGAAAAATTAACAAATGAAAATAATCATATTTAGAGTGAATTTTTAGAAAAATTAAAAGAATTAGAAAAGGAAGCAGTAAGATATGAAGTCTAAATTGATA